TATATATATATATATATATATATATATATATATATATATATATATATGCACACATACATTGGAATATTACTCAGCTATAAAAATGAATGACTTTATGATTTTTTTCTTGTAAGTAGATGGATCTGGAGACTACCATGCTAAGTGAAATAAGCCAATCCTCCCAAACCAAAGGTCAAATGTTCTCTCTGATATGCAGATACTAACACACAACAGGGTGGGGAGAGGGGAAGAATAGAAGTTTAGTAGATTAGACAAATGGGGAACGAAGGGAAGGGAGGGGAGATAGAAATAGGAAAGAGAGTGGAATGAATCTGACTTAACTTTCCTAAGTTCATATATGAATACACCACCAGTGAAACTGTATAATGTTCAATTATAAGAATGGAATCCTAATTAGAATAAGTTATACTCCATGTATTTATAATATGTCAAATAACACTCTACTGTCGTGTATATCTAAAGAGAACAGATAAAAAAAAGATAAAAAAGAAATGCAGTTTGTCTATGGACATACTGGGATGTCTGATTTTTAATTCTTGGATGAAATAGGATGGAATATATAATGTGCTCTCTAAGGTCGGAATGTTCCCCTAATGATCTCCGAGGTCTGTTTACTAATGGCTTTCAACTCTCCTAAATAGTTTGAGAAGCCTCACTTGGTTATTGAAAAAGCTACAGAAAACTTTTTCCAGGAAGCTTTCTGAACATTTCGGCATCAACATTTGAGAGTAAAATTGGTCTGTCATTTTTTAGTGGGCTTTAATAATTTTTGGAATCAGTGTTAGGCTAGTTTGGCTTGAAAAATAAGTTGGGCTTTCATTATTGTTATTTGCAGTACTGACAATGGAACTCAGGGCCTCACATATGCCAGGCAAGAATTTTACCATTAAGCTACATTCTCAGCATTTTTAAAAAAAAAATTTTATTTTGAGAACTGGGGGTGTGGCTCAGTGGTAGAGCGCTTGCCTAGCATGTGTGAGGCACTGGGTTTGGTTCTCAGCACTACATATACATAAATTTTTTAAAAAATAAATGTCTGGGCTGGGGATGTGGCTCAAGCGGTAGCACAATCACCTGGTATGCGTGCGGCCCGGGTTTGATCCTCAGCATCACATACAAACAAGATGTTGTGTCTGCTGAAAACTAAATAAATAAATAAATAAATAAATAAAAATTCTAAAAAATAAAGGTCCATTGACAACTAAAAAATATTTTTAAAAAAATTTATTTTGAGACAGGGTCTCACTAAGTTGCCCAGGCTAACCTCAAACTTGTGATCCTCCTGCCTTAGCCTCCCAAGCAGCTGGGATTACAGGCATGTGTCACCATGCCCAACCATTTGTTGTATTTTTTTAAGGTATGTGTGTTTGTGTGTGTTTGCATGTGTGTGTATGTGTGTGTGTTTATATGAAATCAGTCTTTAAAATAGTAAAACTTTTATATAGAAACACCAGGCAATTTCCCTCACATCCAAAAGCCACATACAACCTTCAGCGATTCAACTTTTTTGAAAACTGAATAAATTAAAATACACCTTTGGAAAGGTAGTCTAGAACATGTTTTATGAAGAGTACAAAATCATAAGCGTACTAATCTTCAACATCTATTACAAATGAATAATGATATTTTTCAGTTATTTTCCCATGTTAGACCGTTTAACAATTCAGGGAGAGCTGTATGATAAGAGTGAGTCCATGGAACACTTAGGTCTCTTATCTGAATGCACAAAACCTTTTTGCACCACAGAACCTACACCACCCTGCCTGGATCCCAAGGATTTCACACACACATGGTAACAAGGGGATTACCGAGCAGATTGAGCAAACCACCACACTCACTTCCTGTGACCTTTCTGTTTCTGGTCTCTCTCCACGTGGATACACGTTAAACTCCCCTGAGGGCAAGGACACTCCCTAAATCAGTTCCTGGCACAGGGTGAGTGATTAATAAAAATCTGATGAGGGAAGAGAGGAATACATCACCAATGTGCTTTTGTATGGCCAAGATGAATGGCTTCCTAGTCCCTCCTGCCCAGGTCCCTCCTACCTGTATTGGTCCTCAGGCGACTCTCAGCTAGCTCAGAGATGGCTCCTGCTGTCGAGGTCTTTTTCAGTCGAACTACCCCTGATGAGGTGGTACTTCCAGGTTTGTTGAGCATATCCTCGCTACTGGCCCTCTTGAGCTACAAGAGAGGTTGGAGGGAAAAGAGAGGATGAAGACACGTTCTCAGTAAGGAGTGCTGCAAAACAACAAGGTATCCGAGTGGAACGTGTGCCTAGTGGCTTAGATACAATACTCTGAGTAGCACCAGTGTGTGAAGTGAAAAAAAGTCAAGTTAGGCAAACCTGTGCCAGTCATTTGCAGGTCAGGTCAGATTATGATCTTCTATAATCATTTCAAAGAAAAGAGTAAGATGACGGTGTATAGTACCCGTCGTGTCACATTTCAAAATCAGTTGTCTTCCCTTATGTGCACAGAATACATTCCAAGTCCACTGCTAGTTCTTAAGTTTCCAGCCCTTTATATACTATGTTTCATTCCTACAGTAGATCTTAGCCACCTTGACATACAAACTTTTTTCTTTCCTTATGAAGTCGAGAATTTTAACCTCTTCACTTGAAGCACTACACAGCGTATCTGAATTGCCAGCATCGCTACACTTGCATTTTGGGGCCATTATTAAGTAAAATAATGGTTACAGGTTACATGAACCCAAGCAAAGAGATATCATGACAGTTGATCTGATAACCGAGATGGGGTGAGGAGTATACACAGCATGGATGTTGAACACATGGATGATTTACCTCCCAGGCAGTATGGTGCAAGGTTTCATCATGGTACCCAGAATTGCATGTGATTCAAAAGTTATGAATCAATTATTTCTGGAAATTTTCACTTCATATTTTTGGACCATGGCTAACCAAAACTGTGGAAAGTGAAATGTGTAGATAAGAGGGGGACCGAATAACTGGAAAAAAAATCTGGTAGAAAAACAAACAATGGCACTGGCGAAAAAAGAACTGTGAGCAGCACAAAAGGCAGGATAGGGCGGTGCACAGAACATTTCTAAAATAGCTTAATGTACATCAGGAGGAAATGACTGGAGAATCTACTAAGTGCATGACACCAGGCACTCTGTAGAGCATCTCATAAAAGAGGTGTTCGGCCACAGTGTTGAGGCCTCAAAGGCGGCTCCATTCTGCTCCACTGGCTTGGGAGCCACTTACTGAGGGTTAGAACTTCACACATTTGCACAATTAAAAAAAAAAAAAAAAAGAGGCATTTTCCATTTTCGTATCATTTAAATTTCAAGGTATAACCACATGCCCCCAGAACAGTTTGAAAGAGAAAAAAATACCAATACCAAATGTTGGTGTATTCAGCAGCAACTATCATGTCTTGCTGGTGGGAAGGCAAATTAGTAAAATTGCAGTATCAATTTAGCTAAGTACTTTCACTTTATGCTTCAGCAGCCCTACTCCTTGCTCTGTGTCCAAGAAAACTACTTTAAAAGAATGTTCATAGAACCTTTATTTGTAATAATCCCAATCAAAGCAATCCAAATATCCTTCGACAGAAAAGAGATTAAATAGTGGTATAGTACACAATGGAAACACAGCAATAGAAAAAAATAAAGTTTGATATTAATAAATGGATCAATCTCATAGGTATTCTAAGTGAAAAGAACCAGAAGCAAAAGATCACATACTTCCTGATTCCATGTATGTGAAGTCTAAGAATGGCAAAGCCAATTAATGGCAACAGAGGTTGTGTCTGGGGAACTTACATATGGGAAGGAACCTTCTGGGTGCTGGAACATCCACATATACATTGGGTGGTGGTTATCTGAGTATGAACTTGTGTAAATATCCAGTGAACTGAATAGCTAAGATCATGATGTGTGCTTTTTGCACTTTACTGTAGTATGCTGTGCTTCATTAAAAAAGAAAAAGGGGGCTGGGGTTGTGGCTCAGTGGTAGAGTGTTTGTCTAGCATGTGCGAGGCACTGCATTTAATTCTCAGCACTTATATAAATAAGTAAATAATATAAAGGTCCATGAATGACTAATAAAAATATTTTTAAAAAAAGAAAAAGAGATTGGGAATCTAGTTCAGTGGTAGAACACTTGAACAGGATGCACAAGACCCTGAATTCCATTCTCAGCACTGCAAAGAAAGACAAAAAGAAAGAGAGAAAAGAAAAGAGTAAATTGGGGTGGAAGTGGTTGCAATTTGAGGCAAAGTCCTGGTTCCATTCCTACAAATATTAATGTACTTTTGTTTTAATTTTTTAAAAAAATTTTATTGTGGCAAAATGAGCCTAACATAAAATTTACTATTTTAAGTGAACAATTCAGTGGCATTAAATATAGTCACCATCTGTAAACTGAAACTCTATTCATTAAAAAAGAAACATATATGACTTTTTTTTTTTTTAATCGATGATTGAACACAGGGCACTTGACCACTGAGTCACATCCCAGTCCTTTTTTGCATTTTATTTAGAGACAGGGTCTTACTGAGTTGCTTAGCACCTTGCTGTTGCTGGATTTGAACTTGTGATCCTCCTGCCTCAGCTTCCCAAACCACTGGGATTATAGGCGTGCACCACCCCACCCAGCCCACATACTGTATTTTAAAAAGAGGACCTTGCTGTAATCCTAGCAACTTGAGAGGCTGAAGCAGGAGGATTGCAAGTTCAACACTAGCCTCAACAATTTATTAAGACTCTGTATCAAAATAAAAAATAAAAAGGTCTGGGGACGTGGCTTAGTGATAAAGTACCCCTGGGTTCAATCCCTTGTACCACCAGAAAAAAAAGGTGGGGGGGTTGGGGGACATTATTTAAAGTCTTAATATTAGCCAAACAACCATGATCAAGATTTTAGAACAAATTAATAATTAAAAAAAATAAGTAATATTAAAAGAATGACTTCCATTTAGTAGATGATTAATTTTTTTAGACAACAGCATAATCCCTGATTTAGCAACTGGATAAATCTGGCACCTGAGGTTGTCACAGAAGTTGCACTATTGCCCTTTTTTAGGGACTCCAGAATTGTCTTCCTACTTCCCATCTCAGAGTAAAAGGTGTTTCTTTGCTCAAGTTTTCCAACCTCTCAAACCATCCATCAGATTGTCAGTATATGTGTTCAATATTAAATGGCCACAGTCTGTAATGTCAGCAGCCTTTTCCCGATAGGAAAATATAAATGAACTTATTATTCACTCTGCCAAGAATCATGACCAAGTGCATCCTTGGTTCCCAAAGGAAATCAATTCTGATCTCAGACTTTAAAAATTCTCAAGGGGACACCTCAAATGAAAAGTGGAAATCATTGTAGTTAAGGGAATTCTCAAAGCAATAGTGCAAGGGGTATGCACTTAGTTCTACTTTCCTCTAATTGGCCGACATTGTTGAAATCAGTTAAGTCTGACTTGAAGTACAGAATTATCAAACCCTTTAGCAAAAGGCCCAGAGGGCAAGTGCTCAACCTTCAAATCAGAACAGGGCTTCCACAAACCAGAGCACTTCCATTGGGGTAGAAATAAAACCACTTCAGCCTCCACCCCAACCACACCCTGGGACACTCTATCCCTTCTTCTATATGGGGTTGGGTCCTGAAGATGTGGGGTCCTGATGAGATGCCAGGCAGAGGCAACAGAAAACAGGAGTTGGCAATCAGTGGGAAGACTTGCTTTGTAAGATGGCCTGGCCCAACAATAAAGGAAGTGAGAGTGATCATAAGAATTGCAATAGGGGTTATAGGAATAACAGTGACCAGGAGGAACGCTCAGACGGTTGAAGCACCAGACTCAGGACGGGAGGGTTTCAAGTGCACAGTTAGTGGTGGGAGAGCTGAGACCCCCTGCATTAAACTCTAAGATATAGCATTTTGTTTGGGGCAAGGCAGGAAGGGAGTGGGGAATGCAATAGGGGACCCAGGATATGGAATCTCTATATGCCAGCTTCCCAGCAAGCACATGTGAAGGAGGCAGCTAAGGGTTAGTAAGGGCTGTGCAACCAGGCTGTAGAGACAGGCTGCTAGTGACAGATACTACCCTGCTCTTTCCTACCTATGTAACTGGAGGAACTGTTTTATAGTCCCCCAATTCTAAAATAGGGAAAATAATAATCCTAGTTCTAGGATCGTGCCCTTAATTAAGCACTAAATTAAGAACAAAACAAGTATCGGTGGATATTATTATTAATACATCCCAAATACTGCAGTAACTGGTTAAATATAACCTCTGCTTCAAACATATTGAAGCTCCCCTCTTTCTGCTCAAGCCATCTCCCCCACACCGAACAAGGTCTTTGGAATATGCAGGCTAGCTACACCCCCAGCCAGCAGAGCTTTTAAAGAGAGTACTTTATTTCCCCTGCATCTTCCATGAGGACTTCCACGTGAGAAAGATTGATTGCATAGACGCTTTCCTGTGTGTGTAGACGCTTTGCACACAGACTACAAAGTGATCCTACCTGTCCTCAGAAAAAAAACAGCTGAAGCTATTTATTCTATCACTACTTTTTTTTGGATGCAACATCAAATAGGAAAAGCCCCTCGTCTCAGTTACTGATTTGTGACCTATCTCTATTTATGGCTGCATTTTTTGGGCTCTAATTCCCGGTCACACAACAGCATCAACACCACCCAAGGTTTCTGGTTTGTTATAGAAGATCCCTACAAAGGTTATGTGCTTTGGCGTTGCTTTGATATGTTGAAAAGGTATTTTTGCTAATGGTTTCGCTGATACTTAAGCTGCTGAGCACCTGCATATGAAAGCTCGAAAAAGGAAAAAGTTTAAATACCTCACAGATTAAAGAAACTAAGAAAGTCCTCTGAATTTCACAAAGATGAGGGGAAAACCCAGGGCCTTGCATGTGCTAAGCGAGCACTCTACCGCTGAGCCACAACCTCAGCCCAGAGAACCAAAATCATTAGCCATAGTGTAATCTGGTCTTCAGAAAGAGATAACATGTTATGATTGCACAGTGGTCCTCAAATGTGAGCAGGCATCAGAATTCTGGGGAGGGTTTGTTGAAATGCAATTGCTGACTTCACCTCTCTTTAAACCCAACATCAACCATCATGTTTCTGATTTACTAGGTCGAGGGTAGGGCCCAAGAATTTGTTTTCTACCAACTTCCCAGGAAATGCTGATCTGCTGGTCTAGGGA